CTCAGCTCCATCTAGTGTCCATAATGTATTATTACAACACACTACATTCAAACTGTGAAAAAAATATATTTTGCCCAAAACGAACATTCACAGATATTCGCAGAGTAAAAGGCCCTGCGAATTGTATATGAATAGAACCCTAAATATGCAAATTCATCTATTAGGTTCTCTTTACGAAACAAAGCTGAGTATTTCAGTTGTCCGGTCTGGTCAAGCTACTAGTGGCTTTACCTATAGATAAAGGGTCACTTTAAAACTCCAAACATTGTGAACCTCTTCCTGGGACTACTACCTATCAGGATTACCTCCATCTTCCTCTACACAGCTGAAGATTAGTTAATACTGAATATTTATCTCTGTCTGCTGCGCTGTCATTATAACAAATTTGTTTCAACCAAATGCCACAAATGACAGATTCGTTCTTTAACGTTTTACGCTTTTCTCAGATTCCCTAATTGATAATAAAACGATCTGCAAACATTATTATTCGCTACGCTGAACAGAGAAAGGCAATGTGGTGAATTTTGGTATTAACGAGCAAACTATCACATCTGATACACTTCAGTATTTCAACAAAAAAAAGTCCCTTTACAATGGAAATTGCTGTCAAAAAAATGAATTTTATTAGACAGTCAGGTGACCACAAGAGCTAAATTCAGATCCCTCTATTTCAGGTGGCAATGCAGCTCCACAGGACAGGTGGTGTGCAGTATTGGAGCTCTGTGGCGATGTATTGCCATTTGTCCTGCCCCAGGAGTCAATTGTTATTCTTTGTGGGTCCCGAGTGAGATGTCAGATATGCTTGCATGGCGGTGTTTGGGGTGTGACGCTTTCATATTATCTGTTTTTCAGACCAGGTGTGTTGCATCCAACTGTAGTAGAGTACAAAGAAGCGGACATAGTTCCAAAAAGCACAGCATGTTTACTACAGGTACTACTACTTGCAGAATATTGTCTCCATGCATGTTAGGAGTGCTTCTAAACCATTGCACTTTTTGACGGTGTTTAACTTCATCCTTTGAATATGTATGTTGGTGTGTGTAATCCCTAAATATATATATACACATACTGTATATATAAATGGAGCAATATCGGGCAAGTGCAATTCATACTGGTCATGCTAACATCATTGTTGGATTACAATTCATTGTTTTTATTACGCATGTGATATTTTAATCTGTTTGAAAAAATACTGAAATTGTATATTTGCTAATTTGATTGGATATCGATAGACATGACACCTTAAATGTCCCATTTTGATAGTTGTTTTGTTTTGATACATACGTTGAGGGGATGTGGTGTCATGCATGCCCCACCACTGGTATAGCCCTATGTACATTTACTGTAATAAGCACATATAGTAAGCACACATAAGCACAAATAGGCGAAATCTTTCCCTGCCAATACTATGGTTATTTCAAATATCTTCCATCTTGATGAAGCCTCTGAAATATTTACATATTTATCTAATACTGTCTTGTTCAAACTATTGCTTTTACAAGCCAATATCTGTTTTTGAAAAGGCATTTAAACGGATTTATATCCTTTGTGGCTATTGAGGAATATGTTTAAATGAAAGAATTTTGTGCCCGGAGTTAGGCTTTAAAGAAACCCTTTTTATATAGACCAGCATGTCATTCACTGCTACCGGCCATTTATCATCACAGCGGCTGCCCGGGCTCAGTCCTGAGGTTTGCAGAGCTGAATAGCAGCTTTGTATGAAATAATGATATCTGCCGCTCTTTCTTTTGCTGGCCCTAACCGCAGGAAAAGGTTACCCACATCCCAGCGCCATCGCTCTCACCCGCTCCGCAGGTAGATGCTGCTTATCCCATCGCAGGAAGGTGCTCTATCACTGCCGGTCATAATTATCAGCTGCCATTAGGCTCAGCTTGGGAACATCAAAGAACTCCAGCAATTAGGAACTGTGCAGCCCACTCTGTCTTGAAGGTAGAGAAAAGGCTTCTACGATTCCTCTCCAGAGACGCACCGCGAGGACGAGCTCCATGATATTAATAGCACACACCTTTTTTTTTTTTTTGTGTGCTTGTTTAAACTAAACCAAGTCTATCTGCTCTTATGGAATGGTGATTAGAGTCTGACTCAAGAAGGAATTAGTGCAAACCTATATAAAGGTATATATAAAAGGTGTGTGTGTATACAGGTGAAACTTGAATAATTAGAATATCGAGCAAAAGTAATGTCAGTAATTGCTGCCAAAGGGGCCCAAACCAAGTACTGAGTACATATGCATGCTTGTACTTTTCAGAGGTCCGATATTGTTCTATGTACAATCCTTGTTTTATTGATTGCATGTAATATTCTCATTTTTTGAGGTTGTGGATTTGGGGTTCTTGGGGTTTTCATGAGCTGTAAGCCATAATCATCACAATGATGACAAATCACGGCTTGAATTATCTTGCTTTGCATGTAATGAGTCTATCTCATATATTAGTTTCACCTTTTAAGTTGCATTAGTGAAATAAATGAACTTTGCACGATATTCTAATTATTCGAGTTCCCTCTGTACATGCCAGCTGGGCTGTGTGCAGGGGGAGCGATCGCTGGCCTTTGATGCAACTTCTAAGGAGCAGTAATGAGCAGTGGCTTGGTGCAGACCCAGTTTGTCCAAGCCCATGCGGAACTGTGACTGACACACCACAAAGGCGCAGGGAATGCCCCTGCTGGAGCTGATTGGGTCGGGGGAGAGGTGTGTCTGCAAAACTGTGACTGACACAACAATATTATGTAGTTCAAAGCACATGAAATACATAATATACATTGAACTGCATCATATACATTGAACTACATACTATACATTGTTTCAACTGGCTCATTGCTATGTTGGGGGGTTGTGATGTAGCTGCAGCGGACCAAGCTGACCGGCATCACAGAATGGGGGCTGTTTTCTAATATTTCGTCTGTCTGTATTATATTATTTGTATTTCCACAATTGATACTTTTGTGTTTTTGATATATTGGAAAATTCTTCCATAGAAACTGTGAAATTAAAAAAAATTTAACACCTGCCAAAAAATATTTCAGTGAGTTATGCTTCTATTTAGGAGAATTTTAACGCCAAATTAATAGTGAACTTGTGTTGGAGAGCGGGTAAAAATTATCAACCATCCAGCCTAAATGCTTCCTAAAATTCCAGAGAAGGCTCTTATATTAGAAGCTAAATATAATCCACCCTCAGCAGGAGAAGCCGAGCTGCCTCAATTTCATACCTATGTTAACATCCGAAACTAACTGATGACAGAGAAAAACTCGTATGGCGCATGTCTACTTAGCGGGAGTTCATTAGCAAGCGCTTTTATTTGCACAGACATTTTTAGAGTGCAAGTGATAAACGTTTAGTAAATGATGTTGGATTGAAAAAAAATAATTGCATGTGATAACCGGCCATAATAAGACCTGCAAAAGCATGTCACCGTTTATTGTGTCCTTAACCCCTCCTGTACAGCAAGATGTACAATAAAAGGGGCAGCACTGTAAACTGTCACTGCACGGTGATGTTAGTCTGACACAGGGAGCTTGCTGAAAAGGGTAAGAAAAGAGAGAGCAGAGAGAGCAGGACAAACAAATAAATAAATATATATATTTATTTATTCATCAGTAGGGATGCACCGATACCAAGTACAGTACTCATTACAAGTACTAATATAGATACTTTTCCAGCTCCAAGACTAGACTAGAGAAAAATTGAAAAAATTAGGAGGCAGCTGTCATGTGTAAGGAGCACACGGAGCTCCTGGGATTTGTACATCTCTGTTTTAATGTATGATGGCCCTGGGTAATGCACAAGAGTGCCTGAGGGGCAGAATGAACAAGGATGGCGTGAGACCACTACAAGATGCATTTTGGCCTTCTGATTGGAAAATCATTGTGATTTTTGGTTGATCCTGTTTTATTGTTTCAATGTCTACCATGTTTCAGGCTTTATTGCTTTATTGCAAAAAAACATTTAGTACAATATTCTTCCATGGTATTGCTATGCAGAGCAAATTGGGCTTCCAGATAAGAAAGGCCAGCAGTGCCTGCCTAATTTTTGATTGCCCTTTTCTACTTGAAAATCCAGGCCATATGAATGAGCAGTCAGAAATCCAGTGACTTTGTCCCTTCTTGTGAGCTGAACTGAAATCTCAAACAATGTTATCAGCTCTCACAGTTCATCTCTTTGAACTACAGAAAACCTCTCCACTATGTTATTCAGGGGAGGAGAGAAAGAGGTATTTGTAGTATAAATTGGAAGGGATAACAAGGGTGACAACGCTGCTCCTCCATAGATGCAATACAGTGAGTGAGTGTTGTCACCCTAGGATGGGAAGTGTGTGACTGGCAGGATCACCAGGTGGTAAAAAAGCCTGAAAAAAAGAAAACCAATGAAGCCACCACACTCAAGGACTGATAAGCTGCAATGTTTAATATGTTGGCATAGATAAGATTTAATTTCACCTCCAATGCATTTTGCTTTACCAAATTTGATCTTGCTGAAATTTTGAAGGAAACTCAGTTTTTCTCCTCCGCAACATAGCAGTGGAATGACTCATGGTAGGTACATGTTACTAAGGATATATTTTATTTTTTTTATTTACGAATTAAAAATATTTTAAAAAACAATGTGGGGTGTATTTATTACTAATTTGCAGAGCCATCTGTCCTGCAAAAATCTGGGAACGTTCCTGTGTGAATGGAGGCAAAAACAAATGTTCCTATATTTTCTTTTCAGGTCGAATGTAATGTATTGTAACACCGCATTATGGTCAGTGGAGGGAGCTGAGGAGCATATGAAAGATGTATTTATCTCCTTTGCTCCTCAGCTCCATCTAGTGGCCATTTATAAATACACCCCCCTGTATTCTCTTTAAGGGCTAGCCCTCTTTAATGAATAAGGCTGCGCATCACTGGAGTTTGGTACATTTGCACAACATATTATTGTATGTTAAAAATAAATTTTCATACAAAATAAAACCAACTGTGTTCTCTTCTCTCTCCAGCTGTCTCTGTGATGAGATTCAGCGCTTCATCCTTTGGATTTGCAGTAAGTAGAGTTTAATTTATGCAACATAATAACCTGCAATGCTATTATTATACCTGCCCCCGGGAGCCACGGTGCCATGTGGGAATTGAATTCAGCGTCATGTTATAAATAGGAAGGGGGTTATAATTGTTGTAATGCATTATCAGCTCTGAATTAAATCATGATTTGTCTTGTGTGTTTTTGCCTACTTTGCTTGGCACATAACTGTAGGGCATGTTTACACTCGTGCGGTTTAAAATCTGTGCAGTTTATTTCGGCTTCTTTCAGATTTGTTCAAGTGTATGTTCAGAATTATTTAAGGGATTATGTTATAATTTGTAGGTGCTTTACACTGATGGTTGTGTGTGCTAGGAAGATATCATGTCCAAAAAGGAGTAAGCTTCCCGAACATGTGGGGGGCATCTGCACAGCTGTTCTTTTAAAGGGGCAAAACGGGCATTTTGTGCAGGTGTACCAAGAAAAGAGGCCAACCCATAGCCCACAGCAACATTAGTTTGGAGCAGAGTTCACAATAACCCTCCCTGTAATTCTAAAACTAACCTTCCCTGTACCCGCAACACTAACCCTTCCTGGAACCCCAACACTAACCTTCCCTGTAATCCTAATCCTCCCTGTAACACCTACCCTTCCTGTAACCCTAATACTGACCCTCTCTGTAACACCTACCCTTTCTGTAACCCCAAAACTAACCCTACCTGTAAGTGTAACACTAAGCTTTCCCTGTAACCCTCATATTGATTCTCCCGGAAATCCTAAATTTTACTATCCCTGTAGCTCCACAACTCTCCTTGTAATTGTAACCTTTACAATGTTCCTCCTGTAAACATAACACTAATTCTCCCTCTAACCTTAAGACCAACCCTCCCTCTATCCCTGATGTTAACCCTCCCTTTAGCCCTAACACTAACCCTTGCTCTAACCCTGCTTTTAACCCTCCCTCTAACCCTAACACTAACCCCCCCTCTAACCCTGACATGAAACCTCCCTCTAAACCTGACATGAACCCTCTCTGTTACCCTAGCATTAACCCTCCCTCTAACCCTGACATGAACCCTCCCTCTGACCCTAACACTAACCCTCCCTCTAATCCGGACATGAACCCTTCCTCTAACCATAACCCTCCCTCTAACCCTGACTCTGAACCCTCCCTCTGACCCTAACACTCACCCTGACTCTAAACCCTCCCTCTAAACCCTAACACTAACTCCCCTCGAACCCTGACATGAACCCTCCCTCTGACCCTAACACTATCTCTCCCTGTAACCCAAATCTTAGCTCCCCCTTAGGTAAACCTTTTGTTTGCATACTTACCTCTCCATCTCCAAAATCCTCTGCTCTGAACAACGCTACGTATCTATCATGTATGTGCGTCGCCATTCATTTTGAACAGCACCCCAACTCACATATATGGACCGGAAAAACACACCTGACCCTCAACACACAACTACAATACAGAACATGTTTTGCCTTGTGGTGCGGTGTGAATAATTGAAGCAAGTACCGTTTTTTGTGTGTGACGCACATTGAGAGCCGATTTAAAACTAATTGTGCGCTCATATATTGAAGCACCAAGCATCATGTGTCAACACGCAGGTGGAAATACATGCATAAGTGTGAATAGGATCTAACAGAAATCAGTACAGGTGCTTTTAAGCCATAGAAGGGGTGTGCCGCTCCTCTGACTAATTCTGCTGCATGTGTGTTATGTGTAGATATGAAAAGGAAATGTAACACTCACTTCTCCCAGGATCCAGCATCGGGTCATCCCCCCAGTGCATGGCCAGAGGTTTCTCAACATACACCCATGTGCATCCCTGTGTCTCCAAGTGCACTCTGTACATCCCCATGTCTCCAAGTATGACCTGTGCACCCCCATGTCTCTAAGCACACATCTATGACTCCAGTGTCTCCATGCAGCATCCTGTATGCTTCGCAATTGTTTGGCCTGTTACCCTGCACCATCGCTACCCTCTACCCTCAAATACTCTCAAATACTCTCCTGCAATCACCTGGACTGTCCTTCTCCCTGTGGATATGGACCCCTGTCCATGGCGGCAGAAGAACAAACAGGTTTTCTAGACTATTCACAGCAAAAAAGTAAATTATTCACGACACTAAGGACTGAGTAACACCTTTATGAGCGTGTTACTGCATATTTTTCTCTGGCAATGCCACACATTAGGGCAGCATATTCCCATTCACTCTAAATGAACCTGTAATCAGCATCAACATATGAAAAAAATCATACATTCACTCCTACTGGATATCACAGTGCACTGCAATGCACAGAGCATTGATATATATGTGATTTGTTGTGTTGGAGGCCGTGTGTTTTTGTATATACTGCATACGTGCGTTTGGGTAGTATTCATAATAAATGGTGATGCAAATATACATAGTGCCAATATGCTTTCCAGGTTTAACGTGTGTTACTGCAAATGCAAAGGTCTAAATCTAGCCTTAGGGCTCATTCACACCAGCACATTGTAGTAAAGTGCGTATGCGCTTTGTGCATTGTCGTGCCCTAAGATGCAAAAAATTGCAGCATGCACTAAGTTTGAATATGTGGAGGTGCGTGCGTGTTAGGCTGCACAAACTAGCGTCCTCCCATCACCCAAAGCTCACTATACCGGTATACTGAGACGCCGCAGCCGGGACCGAGCCCGACATTACTGTCTGGATCCACTCAGCTGCGTGAGTGACAGCTTTCTCTGCCTATCTAGAGGCAGAACCAGCTGCACCCGCCACCTCCCCCGTCCGTTCTGCCAGTCAGCGCTGGAGGATCGGACAGGGAAGGGGGGGAATCCCTGCAGGGAACCGTGAGTGACAGTCACGGCTCTCTGCAGGGACAGGATCAAGAAGTGAGCGAGCGATGGTATGTGTTCGCTCACTTCCCGATCTATTGAGCCGACCTGTGACAGTTTAATTGTCACAGGTCGGCTAGAACTATGAGGCTGAGTGATTTTCACTCACCTCATAGTTCTCCTTTAACCGCCTCCGGGCCGGCCGGCCAGGTGCTCTCTAGATCTGAGCGGGCGTCTCTAGACGTCCGCTCAGACATGCCCCCTTGCGCGCACCGCCAGGCGCGCGCGAGCGGGAAATGGCCGCAATTTAAAAACGGGCAGCGATGCCCGTTAATATACATGCGATCCGCCTCATAGTTTCAGTAATTTTTACTAATTATAATAAAAAATAAAACCCCCAGTGGTGATTAAATACCACCAAAAGAAAGCTCTATCTGTCCCCAAAAAATGGTGTAAAATTCATTTCAGTACAGCGTTGCATGACGGAATAAACGTCAGTCAAAGTACCGCAGCGCTGAATACTGAAAAATGGCCTGGCCAGGAAGGGGGTCTAAACACCTGGTCTTGAAGTGGTTAAAGACTCAACAGGAACCCGTCGCCTTATCTAACCGCCGCATGCCCGAAAACCCAGAAAACCATATACAGATATTAATACTAAAGCTGATGCTCCTAGACCTGAATGGCATTCGGGATCCGAATTTCCGAAATTTCTGAATACCATTCGGGAGCTCCAGAAAGCAATGCGGGTCTGGGAGCCATATTAAAGCTGAGGCTTCCAGATCCGAATGGCATTCGAGAGCTCTCGAATGCTATTTGGAAATTCAGACTCCATTCGGGCTTGGAGCATCAGTTTTAGTATAATGTATATGTAAGTAGTATTCTATAATAAATGTAATTAGTATTCTATAATACGAATGAATATTCGTAGCGGCAACATTGTGACCCATATATACAGTACATAAAACTAAACCTGAGGCTCCCAGACCCGAATGGCATTCGGCAGCTCCCGAATGCTATTCGAAAATTCGAATGCAATGTGCGACAACAGTATAGTGTGGAAGAGCCCTTAAAGACTCAACAGGAACCTGTGACCTTATCTAACTGCCGCATGCCCGCCCGCCCTTTTACTTATGGCACATTCCCTTAAAGTACCAAAGGTGCGGCAGGCATGGCTGTTTTTAAATGGACTGCATCTAAGTGCACTTATGGACAAGATATATAAGAGCAGCATTAAAAAAACAAACTACTGCCATTAGCTCCAGTTTTAAATACACTTAAAAGGAGCTGTAAAGTGTATAAAACCGCAAAGGTATGAATGGGCCCGCATAGCCAGTAAAATAAAATATATACAAATGGAGAACTGAAAGGTATTTAAAAAAAATATACTTTTATGGTTTAGTGGTTCTTTTAAAGACTGCTAATAACCAAACAATGAAAGTTTATTACAAATGAATGGAAAAAAAGATTATTTTACCATACTTGCATGTGTGAGCAAATGTCTGCCCTTCCGTGATAGCACACCATGCCAGCCTAGCTCTCTACCCTTAGTTCCAGCCACTCATCCCTCTGAAATGTATTTTTTTCAGGATGGCTGACCACCTTTGTTGACAATTGGATGAAATTATTTCTGTTATACTGTATTGGCACAAAGAAAAGAGTTAAAGCATGAATGGATCCATTTTTAGTATTTTTTCTGTTTGTAGCGCTTAGAGTGGAGCGCCAGCCAAATCCTTTTTGAAAAAAGAAATCATCATCTTTTCAGACAGGGCTGCCAGGAACCTCCTGAGGCATTCTGTACAAGTCTTCACCATTTTCTGTAGTTTTGGATTGCTATTGACTTCCTGTTCAGAAATTCTGAATTCCAGAGTTTTGCGGATTTTCTAAATACGCGGCAGAACCACTGGTGATAAACGCTTCAGTTCACTTAGATCTATTGCCGACTTTCTTTTATCTCTCACTGCAGGTTCTCTTAAAGGCTACATGAAAAAAATGTGATGGTGTCTCTTTAAGAAAGCCCCTTCCCACTATTGATTGCGTTGATTGTGAGTGTAGTTAATAAATAATCCCTTGTGTAATTTACATTTGGGTTTGGATACCAGCCAGTTGCAGCAGTCCCCACAGTTGCTTACAAAATTATGATTGTTTTTCTCTCAAGCTACAATAAGACTGTTTCAAAGATATTCACTGATTTCTATCATTCAAGATGAGCCATTGTTCTTCACCGCTCATGGATAATTTACAAATCCTTATTTTGTCTCTGGATATATTTGGAAAGAAGAATTCTCAAAATATCCTTATTTTTTTATCATTTGACCAGTCCCAAATTTAAAGGGTTTTTCTATTTTTTTCTGTAGAGTGACCCCATCCTTCCTCAAACCACCATTTTTTGGCAGGATGAAGGTTTTCAAGCTATCACAGTGATTAAAATGAATTTTCCTTTCCGAGAAGTAATGTATCCATGCTGGAGGTAGCGAGGGGGTATTTTGAACCTGGAACGTCACAGATAATCGTTGTTAACCCCTTCATGACTGAGGCCCTTTTTTCCATTTTTGCACCCATGTTATATTCCACATAGCGCTTCCTTGAACAGATTCTTTTAAAAAAGCAGCCAAATCTTATATAAATCTTGCAGAGAAGTATTTAATTTATGGCTATAAAATTGTAGATCATCCAAATCTGTCCGGGCAAAGGAGGTCATAAGATGACTTTGGGCACAGCCAACTACATTAGCTTCAGATTACCATAGCAAATGTTCATACCGTGCACGGTTTTATTGCCAGCTTTAGATTGAGGTCCAGCTGTGCTTGGATGTCTGACCAATCTCTAAAGAGTAAAAAATCTTCTGAGCATCTCAGAGATCTTCCAAACTCAGATGTTTATTTCACAGAAGCAGATCAGGGAGCAGACGGGATGCTTCTGCTATCAGGTTTTCGGGGGGAAGAGTAGTGATTGGACAGCAGCTGAAAAGGAGTGTCATTTTATACCGTTTATCCCACCTATTGCCCAAATTCATCTCAAATCTCATTACAGTTTCATTTATGTAACATAGTATAGGCTGCAGTTTCTTTCTAAAGTAAGAAGTTCAAGCCAAGTTTCAAAAGCAGATACCTTCATCTCTTTCCTGAGTGGCCCAAGAGCCAGTGGCGGCACTAGGGGGGTCCGTCCCAGACCCGGGTGACACCAAAATAACTTACAGTCATGGACCGAAAGCCCGATAGTTGCACGAGAGAGGAGGGGACCTTACCCCGGCGGGTGAGCGTCCCCTCCTCAGGTAACAGAGGGTGACATCATCATGCACATGCGCGTTGACGTCAAGGTGGGGTTTTACCTGGTGGCCGCTCCAGGTGACACCACACCTAAGGACGCTCTTGCCAAGAGCTCATAAATCCAGGCAAAGTTAAGGTTAATTGTGCCTTAAACTGAACCTACACTTAAAGCAGTAAACGTGCTTTAAAGCAAGTCCTCACTGACCTCTGTAGCTGCAGGCACTGTGGATCAATTAATCCTCAAACTTCACAGCAGAGCAATCTAGTCATTGAGGCCCCATTCAATCTCTTAGCATCTGTTAGCATAAAGAAAATAGTACAAAAAAGTAAATACATAGTAAAAAAAACAAAAACATCGAAGTTTGTCCACTCAGGACCAGTTTATTAAAATAAAAATTGGCTAAAAAGAAAAAAAACGCAACAGGATGGAACACAATGGAAGTGAACGGAGGTTGAAATTGCAAGTCAACAGACCTCCATTGACTTGTGTTTTCAGTCTGATTTTGGTGTGAACGAGCCCTTAAGTCAATCTTTACGCAGCTCAGCTCCCTCTCTTCCCCTTTTCCAGCAGTGACTCAGTAGCTTAGCCCCCACTTCCAGCAGTGACTCAGCAGCTCAGCTCCCCTACTATGTATTTAAATACATATCCTGTATATGTTAATACCGATATGATTTTTTAAACCATAAAAACCTTGAAAAACCAATAAAATGAACCCAAAACTGTTCTAATTTATCTTTTAAAAACACTTGGTGGGATGGATTCCTTTCAACTCATAACTTGTTTTATCTTTCAGTTTGATGCTGTCCTGGATGTTTTATCATCAGCAATAGTGCTATGGCGTTACAGCAATGCTGCAGCTGTACATTCAGCACACAGAGAATACATGTAAGTAGAACAATTTTTACACAAAATATCATTAATGAACAATCTCTGAAAAGAAGAAAAGATTCCGAATTCATCACAACTGGTATTTAAATCCATGCTGCTAAAAAATAATGAAAACATAAAACAAAAACCTCTGTGGTATACGCTAATTTAATTTAAATGTTATGATTTTGAGTTGTGCAAATTATGTAAACAGAAAAATATATTTTTAGGAATATATTTATGTGTTTAATAACATCACTCAAAGGGAATGAGTATGAAAATTGTCAGCATTGGACAATCTCTAGGTAGCATCGGGCTCAATGCTCTATTTCAAATGTATAAATGTATGATGTTGTAAATAATTTGTATTAAGTCTTTAATTTGAATTAATTAAATTTGAATTAATATCATCTGCATGAATAATACTCTGCTTGAAATGCATGGTAGGCTAGCAAGAAAGCCCAGCACTACTCTTATGCTTTCTCTCAGGCTTCAGTGTTCATCCACTAGTTAAGGTGTTGCTGTCTTTGTTGCCAATGTAGTTGCTCTTGGTGCATGGACCTTGGGGGGGGGGGGGGGTCCCTTGGGGGAACTTCAAGG